GGGGGAAGGTAGGGTGGCGGCTGTGGGGGGGGGCATTGGCCAGGAGTGGGGTAACGAGCCGGGGATGGATAAGATGGGGAGGGGGGGATGGGGGACGGGCGAGAGGCGAGGGCGAACCAGGAGAGGTTAGACTGGGGGAGGGGGGTTAAGAGCAAGCTGTAGAGATGAGTTCGCCCGATGCCCCCAGGGCCGAGGCAAGGCAGGACGGACCGGAGATGCCTGCATGACCTTACGCATTCATTTTCAGGGATTTAGCAGGGTTTCCATTGAAAGCTGGGTGGATTGGGGAGGGGGGCACATATTAAACATGCAAAAAAGTACCACAGCAACAAAGTGCCCCAGGGTGAGCACATTACTCCGGGTAAATTACTATCAAATGATGGTACTGGGGAGAGAAAGGGGGGGCAGAAGGGGGAAAGCAAATCGATGTTCCGTGATAATGAGAATTTGCTATTTCTGGGTGTTTAAGCTTCACGCCAGCGTCAACGCGGCAGCAGCGTGATGCCACCGTCCTCGGGTAACCGCGATTCCTGCCCCGGTTTTCCAATCTCAACAGGATTTCATTTTCGGGGAATAAAAGCAATCTGTCCCACACAGCTCCTGGGCTATTCTCAGGGTGGGCGTAATCACACCAGCGGAGAGTAATGAAACCCACACATCATAGTGGTTAATTCAGGATGGATTCAGCGTCTGGATCATGCTAGGTTAGTGTACTGTTTCATTATTATGCAGCTCATTTAACTTGTGACAAGCCCCACATTAGAACAGAATAACTTTATTGTCATTGCACATTTCTTGCACAAGAAAATTTTATAATGCACATTTTATAATTGTTATTATGGAAATGGAGAGACGGATGATTCTTTGCAAGAAATAAAAGTACACATTTAGTACGTAGTTAGTGACAACCACATCTGATCTGATCTAGGTGGCTCTTTGTTCACTTAATTCCTTTATTAGCCTAAAACATATATGTGTTAAAAACAACAGAAAGCTAAAATTCGCACTCTTGGTGTGAAGGGAAAGGCGCTAATCTCCCCCGCAGAGGCGGGCTGGGGACGAGCGGAAGAGGCACTTACAGCCGGGCAGGTTTTAAAGAGCTGTGTGCAGACTGCCATTCACCCAAATGCCCGGTAAGAGCCCCACATCCACGGACACATACGAGAAGCAGATAATGAGGACAAATGCCTCGCATTCTGGGGGCGGTGTAGCCCCTAATACAGGGATGCAGGGAGCAGGCAGCAGACAGTGCGAGAGCTTAGGAAGAATGTGCGGGGCACGCTGACATGCTCCCACGTCCGGAGGCATAACCCCACAACACGGCACGCTTATTTACAAAAAATAAACAATCTGACCCCGGACAATGAAATAGAACGCAGGCGAGAAGGTGACAGAGCAGGTGCACCAGGGTCTCACATGTCTCGCACACCCCCACCCCCCAGCAGCAAACAGGATCCCCCCCAGAGCCAAACTTCACCTGTATTTCCAAGGAACACTAGCACCTGGCAACCAGCATGGTGACACCATGAGCCAGAGTACCTCCACCAAAATACTAGAGGCACCATAAGCTTCTGGGTAAAAACACCTTTGCAACCACAGAACTAACGGCACCTGCCAGAGCCCCTCTGCTGGGCTTTGACAGGAGGAGACTCACCTGCCACATAGCAGCCTGCCTTATGTCCATAGCTGGGGGGTTTAGTTTCCATAGTCCCGGAGGCAGCACGAAGCAGGAAGCGGGCTGTGCGGAGTGGGCTGTGCGGAGCGGGCTGCCTGCCTGCCTGCCTGCCCGCCCAGGGCCCCTCGCTCTACCCTCTCAGCCTAGCCGCTCGAGCCCATCACCCGGGCTCTCGGGCCGAGCCCTGGAGACAGCGGCAAATCAACGGCTGGCCGGCGTGATGTCAGCAGTGGCTCAGCCAGTCACGGCGCCCGCCTCGCCTCGCCCTGCACACATCACCGGGGCTAAATTGAGCTCTTCATTAGAGATTCAGCGGCATCGGCCCGAGCGTGAGGCTGGAGGTGGGAACGCTGGGGCGTGTGCGTGCGAGGAAGTATGTGCGTGTGTGTTTGTGTGTGTGTTCGTGCGCATGGGCTGTGAAAACCCCTCCCCCCACCATCCCACCTCACCAAACCCCTCATGTCCACCCACTCATTTGCCACTCACTCACTCACTCAAAAGAAGAGGAGGGGGGGGCTGACAGCAATGTCAACCCACAACAAAGGCCAGTTCAGGTTGGGAGGGTAGACAGTCCAGAGCACAGTACTGATGGCACACACAGGAGGGATGTCTCGCACAGCGCGTCAGCCCGCACCGTCATCACAGAAGACAGATTGCTCAATGTGCTGCCAAAAATAAGAGAAGTGTGCGTTCTGCTACTCAGCTGATGAATGTTACAGGGCGAGAGACAGAACGACAGAGACATGATGGCCAATGCAATATTTAAGATGCATAACTCATCTTCCCACTTATCTGTGTATAATTCATGCAAATGTACAAGAGGAGCCGTTTTCGCTACTTTCCTACTGTAGTTCAGTGTGAGCCGCAAACTGCAGCCAGCTCTGAACTGGCTGAACACTAAACGGCACAAGCTCCTAATATGCAGGAAAATCAATAAAGTGACATAATAGCTGGGTTTCCCAGTGCACTGCTGCTGCACTGGCTCTAGCAGAACTGGACTTGAGATTAAATCTTTTTCCCAGTGCTTCCCATGCTATAAATATTTGATGGCCACTTTTTGCATGCTTAAAATCAGCCAGTGCGCCGCCTCCCTCTGCAGTGAGGATTTAAATATCAGGTTAAGTCTCATTCCGGCCTCTTATGGACAAGCTGGATCAGGCGAGTCCACCTTCAATTTAGAGACCCTCCCCCAAATAACTAAAGAGGTTCAATCATTTCTTTTAATTATGGTCTGGCAAAGAGATACACAAGGATCGGTTTTCTCCTGCAAACAATCACTGTGAAAGCAAGCGAAGGCAGCTTGCCTCCCCCCCCCCCCATCAAGAAGAAGACACGGCTGCCCCAAAGCTGCGGCGATACAAGGACAGCAAGGCAGCGGGCGACCCGTCTCTGAGGCACGCACAGCGATGACAAAAGGAAGCTGGTGGCAATTAACAGAAAGCAAAGTGTCGAACTGAGCACCGAAAGAAGATTCCTTCAAACAGATACCTTTGGGGTTGCATCCATCTCCGCCATCCCAGGCTGACGGGAGACTGGATGTGCACAAGAGCCATGTGGACTGACTTAATGAACTTACAGGCTCCCGCCCACCGGAGCTGCGGCATCACTTAAAAATCTGCAAGAAGCTACCACTAAAATGAGAGAATTCAGAGGGGTACAGATTTCTGCCATAACCCAACTGTCACAGTATAAATAAACAGAAACCGCCACATAACCTGTGTCAACATGTTTTTCGAAAAGAATAGAAAAAGCAAAAACCAGCATGTAAATGAGTGCCAAGGCACATCAATGTCACTAACAGCTCGCATTTCTTCATCTGTCACATGACTGCAGCTCGTCGGGCTCTGCAGTTCTATTCCTTCCCCAGGAAAACCGCCGGCGTTCCGATTGTCAACACCTGGCTTCAGATTTGCGGGAAAACAGCGAGCGTGGACCCCATTCATCTGCATAATAAAAGACGCGGACGGCGGCACTTCCTAATTAAGCCACGCTATGTAATTTGCCGTTCTGAAAAGTGACAAATACATTTATTCACGTCCTCCCCACGGATGCTCCAACTTTGGTGCGATTTCCAGAAAAATGACATTAAAACCCTAATGAGCTCCCTCAAGGCAGGGCAGAATAGAATAGGATCGTGCTCGCGATTGCCTGCCATGCAGGACTCGGAGGCGCTTGTGAGGACCACGCAACGCTTCATCCTCATTACCTGACCAACGGGACGCAGGGAATGCGTCGCCGGCCATCTGTGCAGCGGCTCTCTTGTCATGACGCACATCTTAAAGCATTTCGGGGGGTGCTGTGCAGATATATCACACTTTTTGGTCTCTCGTGCCTCAAATGAAAACGTTTTGCTTGGCCGGCATCGTAGAGAATCTAACACGCGGCAGAGTAAGGCATCGCGCCAGCATAACTCACCACCTTCTTATCCCTAATGAGCTTGAGCACTCTGACTGATGGATGATCCAATAAGCCTACAGATTGGAGGGGGCCTCAACCGGACAAGTGCCTAATTTTCTCAAATGGCCCGAAAGAACCTCAAAGAGATAAGAATTAGTTACAGGAAGCAAATTCTGATGACGTTTAACACTAAAGAAATGACTTCTGCATTTCTTTGTAAATCGAACTGGTGACAGAATATCCCACAGTCCCCAATGAGACTCAGAGCCCCTTAAACACAAAAACAAGCATTAAATTACAAAAAAGCTAACACTTCTTACTGTAACTGAAGTCACACAATGCAAGTAATGTACGGTGAAATGAAAACCGCAGGCATCCCAATCATGCATAACTTTTAATGCTGCAAACAATGTTTCATCATCAGCTTTACCCAGTTACAAATTTATATACATATTCCTCACAACAGAGGGAGTGGATATTAATCACACAATTACAGGGTAGTCTTTCGGGGCTTTATAGGATTAGTGGTGACATAGGCTCCAGAGGGCAGATTGTTATAAGGGGGTACGATTATTAACGATCCTTAAAGGAATATACAAAGCGACATTAATTATACCGGCGCATGTGGGACACAGAATACTGCGTTTCAGCACTGAAAACAGCGCCCACGGTTTGATGATTGTAGCTGGCGAAACACCTCGTATCTGATGATAGGGAATGAGGAGAGGAAGACCAGGCAGAGCAGACGCGGGTCTCAAGCACATATGCCCCCGCTCATTCTGCGGTCCTGTCTTTACGCAAAGACATTCATAAACAGACAGGAGCCGGACGTTTCAATTCGTTTAAACTGGACGGACAGCACAAGGGAAGACCCTTGGTTGGGATCAGTGACAAACGAAACACAAAGACCGGCCTGGGTGTCACATGCCGCGCCGAGAGGGACCGAGACTGGGGCAGAGAACTTCACCCACACAACTCTGTATCTTCCGCCGCAAAACGGCAGGGACGACTGGAGAAAAAGGAAAAACAGATGCACGAATGGCAACGTAGAAAGAAAACGGCAGCTGCGCCCAGAGACCACGGCACAAAGCTTTCTGAATAACACCGGTGAAATGCATCCCTCCGCCTATACACAGCGTGGCCGCAAAATCGCCCGGAAAATTCCTCAGACTGGACGTCAGTGTGAAATGCAAGCGGCACCCAAAGCGTTTATAGTGTAAGGTGTCTATAATGTGAGGTGGGTTTCAGCACATGCTGGGATCAGTTTCGGGACCATGAATCCACGTGCGATTTCCGGAAAGAAACGCTTACGTGAAGCGTTTGACATGGACAATCACAGAGCCCTTAAAAAAATCGCCCCCACAATACGTAATACATTCTCATGTGTAACAAAAAAATATAGAATACAGCTATGCCACAGTATTTATAGACGCATTTACTTTTGTAGCAAATCCACCGTGACACTAGCCTATACGATCCGCCCAGTATATGCAGGACGAATAATACAAAATGATAATGTGGCACGTCGTCTTCGTGCATAATTCGCATATGGATAAAATGCATTTTAAGGTCCATAGATAAAAGTAAAAAACAAAAAACTTAACACTCTGCATGAGCAGCAAAGGGGACGGTAATATCGGGCGTTTACTGCAGAAAGAAGCCCGTCCCTGTCCCTTAGTGATCTCCACGGCGGTCCCCCAATGCTGCCTTAAACCACGAAGTAAATATAAAATAGAAATCGGTACCGGTTTGCACCAAGCATTCACATCATTTTTGCACATTTTAAAATTTAAATTATAGCGAAATTCAGATTTCATATTTTTGAGATTTAACATAAGAGCATAATAAATGCATTTTAAAGGTAAATGTGACTAGGAAATTACAGAAACGAGTCAGTCCAGTCAGCCATGGGTTAAAGCCAAAACTTCTTTTTACCTGCCATAAGCTGACATTTAAGCAGCTGGTGAACCTTTTACAATTCACAGACGGTCTCACAGCCAATTCCAGGAAATATCAGTCTTTGTGGGAGTAGAGAGATATCAATCGCCATGGCCCAATTTTCTCCCAGCATGCATCGCTCCTCGACACTCATTCTCTCGCATCCCAAGCACCTTTCCACATGTGCCAAATGTTCAATGGCGCAATGCATCATGGTAGAGAAACTGTCACTTAGAGGAGTGATGTCGAATCGTGGCTGAAAAGACGTTAGTCACGACTGTATCATAGCCATTTTAGAGAGAGTATGGAACGTTAATTTCCCTATATTTTAAATTTATAATGACATGCATATATGAATATAATTATTATGCAAATAAGGGTTGTCTGCTATGTATGCACGTACTGATTACCAATAGAAACAAAAACAGGGTGACTGATAGACTGTAGAACGACGACACAGTACAGTTGTGAGGCCCCACAAGCTGCCGCAGTCCGTGGCAGGCCGACGCAGGCCGAGATCCACCTGGAGCGAAGAAGCAGCACCCCTGGGCGCAGCAGCCAGCACTTGCTGGTTTCCTGCCCGATGCCAGCTCATGCATCATCGCTACCATGCCCCGAGCCCCCTCACCTCCCTGCACCGTCTACAGTTAGCCATTCATATCTCCCCTGACAGATACAGGCCAGGGGAAAAGAGAGAAAATCACCAAATGACACAGTGGCAAGATTACCTGTAATGCGATTAGACAGCCTGAGAGACCTGAACAGTCACCAGAGCGAAGGATTCACTCATCAGGGGTGTTTGTCACATACAGAAGCTCAAGAGATGAGAGCAACCTTTAGCCATATTTATAGGAACAAACGCACCACTAGAAATGTGAGCATATGTACCTCAATCGAAACCACCTAATACAGCAATCTGAATATTATTTTCCAAAGTAAACTGTTAGACTATGTGCTGTAAGCAGTGTAATCAGTGCCAAAGCTTCCTTTGCAAAGAACACTTGATGGTTAACAAAAGGGAACAAAAACACATTTTGACATGAAGGTCATTCAACATACTCCGATTCTACTGTTGCTGTCAAATACATATATTTTTTTAAAATTTTCTCATCTCTTTTAATTGTTCAGCTTTCATTGGTCTAAGCAGCGCATTCAATGGCGGCCACACCAGGCTGGGCCACACCAGGCTGGGCCACAGCTGGCTGGGCCACAGCTGGCTGGCACTACGGCACAGTCAAAAGCAGACCAGATATCACAGTGCATGGGGAGGTAGGGAAATGGGAAATCACTGCAGCCTTAAGATGGGAAGCACTGGGGAAAACATCTCAGTATTTATTTAAGTGAATGAGAGCAAAGGACAGAATGATCAGCGTGCCACCTTAGCAGACTACAGAGAAAGCACCCAGCGGAAAAGATGAAAGCATTTTGTACAAAGAAGTGCAAAACAGCCTCTTCTCTTGGTAACGTTTACAGTAAATTGTCCTTAGGCTATTCTTGTTAAGGGCAAACCACACTGGTTATTTCTGTTATGCAATTTGAATGCCCAAAGCTATTTTATTCAACTTATATAACCCTTTGGTGTTCATCAATAAAATGGGATTTTGTCCCAAAACCAAGTAAGAGTACTTCATTTAAGTAATTAAGATTTGGTTCCTAACTGAACCAAGGCTCAGCTGCAATTGTCCTGCGAGGATTTGAATCTGCAAGTTTCTGAAAAGTTGCTTTTTTAAATATGTGTACGTTACATGAAGTCAGAGACTTTGTTTGAAAAGATGGCGCAGGAGGAAAGCAACCATGCAAAACGAGTGCCCCTTTCACACTGCGAGTCAAGACAACAGTCCACGAGGACCAAAACACAGGCTGCTAGAGCCGCGGAAAAGAAGCCTGGGTGAAACGGCAGACTCGCTGATGGACCCCGCGAAGGGCCGATCTTTCAACTAACATTCAAGTACGTCCAGAGGGTCAGGAAGGTTGTGAGGCACAAAGCAAGAAGAGAAACACAGAAAATAAACTTCTACATGCAGAATTTTTTACATTTTGTTTTGAAAATGAAACTCAGCAATATACAGTTTAATGACCATATTCTATGTGATGTCACTGATAGACAAGTTTTAGCCCAGAATGATTCATAGTCTCCCAGCATTCTGACATCATTCAGCATTTTATTAGTGTTGCAGTGTCTACCAACTAAATACAGTGTTAGCAACATACTTACAACTCCCAGTAAATGTTATTTTAACTAACCTAATACAAATACAAAACGTGATTTCTCCACAGACCATTTCAATCTGTTAAATAGGATGTCATATGCATGAACTGTGCCCAATTTGAAATCACACATGCAAGTTCAAGCCTAGTCATACGACTTTTGCTAACTACCACATTTAATTTTTTTTTCTAAATCATCTATATTAAAAAACACCCAGCAACATACATATTTATTCTTATGACCAGCATTGCAAAAGCAACACTTTGCACCACCAACAAAACGTTAATTTTTGGTATACTTATAAGTAGGGCTGGGCAATATGACCTCAAATCAAAATCACGATTAATTGAACATTTTACCTTGATTATGATTAATGAACAATTATTATTCTTGGTTTGTTTTTTGCCCTCATATTTTATTAACAAGGTTTGTACTATAAATGTGGTCAACTATTAAAGCTGGGATACTGTTTTCTAATGAAAGATTGTATATCTTGTGATTTTAGAAAAACTGAAGGGAACACACAGATGAATATTTCGAACAACTGAAATCAAAGCACAAATTGCTTGAAATGAAAACATCTCATGAGGTCACATTTTAGTTTTAATGTAAAAAGCAAGTTCTCTAGAAAGGTAGAAAATAAATAATTTGAATTTCTTGCAAATAAAATAAACCATTTATAGTGATCACATCTGTTTTTTTTTCTTTTTCTTTATGTCTCAGGCAGATTACCATCTAACTGACATTTGTATATTTATTACATAAATATAAGGTAATAAAATGGACAGCATCGCTGTTTACTAAATATTACTAACTCTTTCAAAATACAGTACAGCTGTTTCAAACGCTTTTCAAATTACAGTGCCGCACAAATTAAATTACTGAACTGTGCATAATTCAAATACGCTATAATACAGTACAGCACTGTACATAAAACATAGCTTATTTTAGTTTCACTACTGCATTTTGGTGGCTCATTTTTGGCAGTTTATCATAAGCCTTGATGTGTCTATACCCATAACTGAGCAAAAATGACTTTCATTTTCCCATCACATTTTCCATGCATGCAGCATTAACCTCAGGTAGATATCCAAAAGCAAACGGGTTACTGAAGAGCAAAGTAAGCAAATATCGAAAAGAAGAATTACCGTTACTTTAATGTTGTCATGTATAAAAAGACCCCCCAAAAAAAAACACTGCAAGTGGACTATGTGATTAAATTAATTATTTAAACAGTATTTGTACAGGAATGATTCTGCCTCAAGCTTTTTGATCCATATAAGCGGTTGGTCACTATAACCGTGATCACTATAAGCGGTTTCCACTGTATTTTAAATATTGCTAGTGCTGAAACCAATTGGTGGTATTACCCTTAGGTAGCTGAAACTGTTTTTCTGTAGTGTTTAAATTTGACCTCTTTTTTTTTGGTGTCGTCTTCACTAAAGCCACACTGTGTCCAAAGGACAGACACGGCATTTTTCTTTGGTACAAGCTGCTCGAGTTGCTCAGTCGGCTTGGTTTTTGAGTACTCCTCATTGTTGCTGGTTGTCAGTTGTTGGAGTCCCGTGACAACACATGCGGTAGTATATTTTTAAGTGGACAGCAAATGAACACACACTGGGGAAAGTATTAACGGTTTTTAAGTATTAACAGAATTTAAAAAAGTAACACAAATGGGCAAGATTACGTCGAGGTACGTAGAGGTTCTGAAAGTCGGTTTTGATTCATTTTCCACTAATTGCCCAGCCCTACTTTTAAGTCAATTTTAGAAAGTATGAGCAACCAGGATTATTTCCATCCATCCATCCATTTTCTGTAACTGCTTATCCTATTCACCTTACCAGTGGAGTGTGGGTAGGAAACCAAAGTACCCAGAGGAAACCCCATAAGGACACAAGGAGAACATGCAAACTCCACACACCTGGAGCCATGGCGGAAACTTGAACCCTGGGCCCAGATATAAAAGACAACAGTGCTAACCACTACACCACCATGTCGCCCTCAACAAGGTTCATTTATTGGCTTCATTTCCACACTTTGAAGGCTGGTGGTTCATGTCAGTCTGGCCATATGAGACTTTCCTGCCAGCATCTTTCACTGTACACTTGTGTGAGACTTAAAGCAGGGTTGTCTTACCACTTAGGCAAAAAGAAACTGCCAAGATAATCCACACACGTGCAAGAATATATGTTCTCTGCCTCACAAATCTCATAACCAGTGACTGTAGTCAATGAGTTTTGCTGTTACTAGGTTCAATTTTACATGTGTTAAGAACTCATTGAAATTTAAATGCCACAGTTACAGGGGAGGAGACAGGTGTATGGGGGCACGATAGGACAAACTGCAATACAGGACAAACAGCAGTGCAATATAAGACAAGGCAGTGCAATATAAGAACAATTGGACAACAAATAAGCAATAAATAGGTAATGCAATTGGGATAATCCGCTTGGCACAGCTGTCTGCCTGTTAACTTGGCAGCAAGACGTGAAAACACGCGAATGCTGAACCTGCTGGACAGGGTGCAGCCGCACCGGGATATCCAGGTACTTGTCGTATTGTACCCGACAGCCCGGTTACTCGTTGTGTTGTACACGACAACACGGCCAAGCGGCTTTTCAACCGCGGGCCCGGAGACACAGCAGTACCTCCTGTGTTTCAGACTGTTTCTGCCCACTGGACACAGACGGCTACGTGCGCGAAGTACCACAAGTTGCGCCAGGCAAAAAAAACAAAACAATATATAACAATATAAACAAACCAGCAATAAACCAATACGCTGAGGCGCGTTTTCCCGAAGAACAGACAATGCCCGAGGATACTACGGCAGGCCCTGACATGTTACAGCATTAAGACCACTGTGAAACACCAAACTCCGCGGAGCCGCGCTGCTAACGGGGTAGCCGCCCGACCGCGAGGTAAACCTGAGATAAACTTGAGGTAAAGTCCCGCAGGTAGCCACGTACAGTATGTCAGTTAGCTCCCGGCTAGCTAGCTAGCTGTAATTAATGTTAGGCCTTGGTCAGCTCCGCTATTGCATTGGTCCTGCTTGGATTACAGTAGTGTGCGATGATCATAATCTGTCAATCTTTTTACACGTTCTTATGAATAAAAGCAATAAAACGTAAATGTCTCCTTACCGGATGCGTAAGGGTGTCAGTATTCTGTAAACTGAAATATAAACAAGATGAATATTGCTGTATTCAACCTATATTAATTACATCAACAGCCTGGCGAGGGGAAGCAATGAATCCGGTACGGACGGACGAAGCGGGGAGAAAGGCAGCGGCACACATTATGACTGACAGCTCCGTCGCCCAATTACAGTGACTGCTTTGCAATCATGGGCCATTCCCAGCGCGCATTGGACTTAACTGACACGCGCTTACAAGGAGTGGGCGTGGTTAGAGTGTTTTAAAGATTTTAATTACGAATGGTCCTCATATAGAACTTTCGTTTTAAATGTGTATTGCAAAGGTGTTTAATAAAAGCAACCGTATTGTAATAAGATATAAGTATCGTATAAAACGTGTATTTAACGGATCCTATTCACGCAATGAATAAACTTAATGATTCGCTTTTTAAACTAGCCTTTCATAATTACATTACGGAGATCCATATTTCATACATAGAATTACGGCATGGTATTTAATATCAGTATATCAGTTGTACCAGTCAAAGCTACCCTAAGGCTCACCCAATGCATTTCTGGATGAATGAGCAAGAAATTATACGTAATAATCTCCAATTTAACTACTGTGACATGCCAATAACAAAATTACTGGCTTTAACAGTCAACAATGTTACCCACTATATTTGTTGACGTTTGCGGTTTACATCAAACGCACTTGATACAGTGGTAAAGTAAATGTAATGCTTATTTGATTAATTTATCATGTAGCACTTCAATTTGGATTTGTAGGTTGTGTGCCTTTTTGTCTCCAGATTATTCGAAGACTTGATTGAAACCGGGATTGAGCGAACGCGACTGACACCCACGGACACGCGAGGTCAAACGCACGCGGTCCACGCTACGTCAGACCGCCGGTAGTCGCTGGTGGCTGACGCAGAAACGCAAGCTGAGCAGCGTCAGAGCGCCGCACGAGCGGAGCGCGGGAAATAGCGGGGGTGACCGAGCCGTCTTCTGGCTGGTGGCCGGCGCTGGTGGATATTCCGCTCTTCGGCTTCTGTTCTTTAATCCTCCTCGTTGCCGAGGTGTCTAGAACACGGTAAACCAGGTCCGCTATTGTGTGTTTCAGTCACTGATGTTTGCGCATGTACAGTGAAAACTGCAGTGACTGAAGGTGTCTTTAGTCCACTTGCTAACTGTTTGTTTTCATGTTTATAATTTATACTTTAACCACGAGGCGCTTTTTGTACCAGGTAAATAATGACACGAGGCAACCGCCTATACAGACCAAACCTTATATTTTTATTTCTTAAGTAAGAATCATGTTTAATAAATTATTTACTCAAATTGCAGTGCATCGGTCAGACTCCTTAAACGTGACTGAATTAGTTTCATTCAAGGTTACCAACTTTAGTCAGCTGGCTGGTGTAATAATTTCGATTCGATACAAGTCTGCACACTCATTTACATATATGTAACATTTACCTTGTAAATAGTCCGTAGGGTTTGCAAACTACCCCAATGATTTTGATGTAATTTTAGGTTTGTAGTGCAATATTATAGATTTGCCGTAAGATTTCTTGCGCGAACGTGAGAGTCTGAAAGTGTGAGTGTCACGCCAGATGTGTGAGAGTTGGCATCCGTGTACATTTAGTCCTACCCCATATTCATTACCTGTGTGACTACCGTCATTCCTTCGTTAATGCTACGGAGCTGGTTAAAGCAGTTCAGTTTGCGGTAACATTACGTTCATTTACTTTTCCTTGGACTTCAACTGTGGGCCTTTTTCTTCAGTTAAGCCATAATATCGTATTCGCGAGTTGGCCGTGAAGAATTAAATGGAGAATATTTTTGGAGAAAAAATATTATATAAAGGTCGCAGAAACTCGTAGTGCTCCCAGTGCGTATAGTATTAACTTTGTACATACAGGGACATGATTTAGTTGCTTTGTATATTATATAAAAGTTCTACATAGGAAATGACAGAGTAATTTGACTTGCAGAGTTTACAGTACAGTACTGTTTGTTTAGAAAGTGATATTAAATAGACATAATTCAGGGTAGCAGACTTGTGGGTTGAGGTTAAGAGGTGGCCAGGTATTTGCAAATTTTTGCTTTTGTGGGGATCTTCCACCCCTAACCCTCATGAAAGTGAAGGGGTTACTTTATACTGTAGAAACCCAGATTGGTACCGAACTGTAATGCAGCTGGTCAAAGGTCTGTGGAGTCTGGGTCAACCTTGCAGTGAGATGTGGCCTAACTGCCTCATTAACATTCCGGCACAATTGGGGTCCGGTAATCGAACAGTTAAATGTGAACACAGGTTGTGATATACCTTCCTGCCTGCCTAGCATAACACTTAATGTAAGTCAGTGTGAATAACTTCCATTGTGAATAAATTGGCTGAAAAAGCCACACGTGGGTCTTTCTTGCCCGAGGCCCTGGTACTGGCGGATGCGAGAATGTGTGGCAGCTTCCAGCCCGTTCAGAGGAAATTGGTGGTGATCCTGTGCTGGGGAGAGCGGTTTGTCAGCTTGGCGCTGACGTTATAAAGTGTCAGTAATAGATGGGGGGCATGACGGGGTGCTGCCAAATGGGGGTGGGGGGGGGGTACCCCCACTAGGCTGTGCTGCTGGGTCCTGAATCGACCTGGGTGGAGAGGGGCTTTGTCAGGTGCCTCATTTCTCCTTCACCTCTGAGAGTCTTCCCCCTGTCTCCACAGGAGAGTCCGTTCCTTGCTTACGAAAGCTGCAGGATGAGCTCCGGCCAGGCAGTGGGCCCCCTGAACAGCGGCCGAGGAAATGAGCCCGATGACCAGCTGTTAAAGCTGCCAGAAAAGCTGCATCAGCGACTGATGCCGTTCCAGAGGGAAGGTGTCAGATTTGCGCTCTCAAGAGACGGGAGGTATGTGGTCATTACTCTGCCTGCGAGTGCAGCGCTTGGACAGTTTGGGGACAGCAGTCTGAGGACGTTTCACATCGTTAGCTTGCCCGCCATCTTTAAAAGCGTGCTCCTCTTGTCCCCCGTGTGTCAGAGCACCCCTTAAGATGGCAGGCTTTCAAGGACACCCCTCCCTAACTCAGGCCTGGGTTCGACTGATCCACGGTGATCCTTTGTGCTTGAATTGTATGTGTGCACATGTGTGTGTGTGTGTGTGTGTGTGTGTGTGTGTGTGTGTGTGTGTGTGTGCGCGCGCCACACTCATTTTCAGTTTGGTGATGAAAGTGTGGGTCAGTACTCTCAGTATAATGGGATGCTGCTGTTGCAGAAGGAGAATGCAAAATGCTGTTCTTTATTTAGGTGGTGTGGGGTAGCATTCGCCTGCACCACCACCCAGCAGATTGATGACCCACAAAGGTATTGTCTGGGCCACGGCATCAGGGGAGCCGCGCAGCCTCTTGGGTACACACGGCAACACTTTTGAGTGGCTTGGCCCTGATGCACACTCCCAAGAGCGAGGGCACGAGCGATTGGACGCCTTGTATTTTTGCATAAGCACTGTGTGGGATGCTGGTAACCATCACGAGGGGCTTTAGTCTGCAGAGCTGCCTTTGGCTCTGTCCAAATGGAAGCATGAGGCAGCTTCCCTTCTCTCCGTAAGTGTAGGAGAACCGCACAATAAGATTATGTTACTGTTTTGAATCATAATGGAACTGACCAAAAATGGGTACAAAGAGCAAAATCGTAATTGCCTTCCTTGTTCAGGTTACGGAGTTGGAATTATGAATCACACCCGTGATTTTTTAATTATTGGTCAGCCATTGGTACGTTATCTAATGGCATTTGTATAGTAATTCCTACAATGCTTTAGCTTGAACATAAATGAATTACTGCGGTCTCTCTCCTGTGCTGCCTAGGACAGGCTTTGGGTTCAGTGCAGCCCTGTATGGGACATTCACTCACTTTCAGGAGACATAGACTATGGCTTCCCGGTCTCCATTTGGAAAAATAGGGCATCAGAAAGTGAAGTCTGCAGTTTAAATAATTTCCTTAAGCGTGTTTCGGCAGATGCCTCACTCATGGAAAAACCCAGTTTGAGTGAATTTCGCAGTGTCTGTCTGTCTCCGAGTGACCTTTGCGAGTGTCCCTGCTGTGCTGGCAGACAGACGGGCACGCCGTAGTAAGCAGGCTCCTTCCCTGCCACCTGTTTATTAGGGGTCCCTCCTGGGAAGCTACCTGCTGTCTCTCGCAGGCTGATTTGGCAAGGTTCTAGGTTTTCCTTGACTCCCATTTAGCTGTCAGTTCTCAGTGGTTATATGAGTAAGCAGAGAGAGCTCTTTTCCTTATTTAGCGATCACACAGTGGGCTGTATTCCCCGCCTCCTCCTGCGGTGTATCTCACCGCACCGCTCTCACCGCACCCGTTTCCCTGTTCCAACTCCCTGTTTAGGAGCAGTTCGTTTTCCGGATGCCGCACCAGCCGTCGAATCACCGTGCTAATGACCGTACTGTGAGTTTGCGTAAAAACACAGAGGTGGACGTCACTGCGCCGCTCCCCGTCCTGAACCCGGCAGGCCCCGTGCGTCACCGCCGCACAGAGTGCCCAGGCTCTCATCCCTCGCAGGGTGGGGGGTGGGTGGGTGTAGTGCTAAGTGGCGCCATACTGGAGACCCAGCGGGAGTGTCTGGTGTGGGACGCCCATTCAAACACAGCAGGCCTCGCAGGGATCCGCCAGTCAGGTGGCTGCCTCATTGCTGAGTGGGAGTGAAGCAGCTGTGCTTTCTGACTCAAACCCGCCAGGCTCGGGCCTGGAGAACATCGGGCCGCCCACATCCACGACCTGCCGCCGCCCTGTCCCCACGCTGGCCCAGAGTAGGTGGGCTTTAAGCGATGATGCAGTGATGAAGTAAGACAAGAAACTCCCTAGTGCCTCATTACGCCGTGAATAGTGCCTCCTTCCTGCCAGCAGACAGGACGTGGCCAGTTCACTGGACATGGACCTGACCGCTCAGGTCGTGTGACCCAGACACCACTGCCCACCCATAAGGCTAAGAACTCAGATTCTGAGCTTGCGATAAACACCAGTCCTCTGGGCGTGTCTGGTTCTGTGAAGTTGGCCTGTGGATTCGGGCAATTTCCCTGACAGCGCTGGGTCAGGTTGTGAGTGTGATTGGTGGTGACACGCTTTAAGGGCTCACAGGGTCTCACCAAAATGGGGACGGGAACTGGAGCTGACGGCAGTGCGCCTTCTGTCCTCCGTCTCAGATGTTTAGCTCCAGACGGCAGGAGCTGCTTCCTCCCCATCACGCTTCTTCCCAGGCAGCTCTCTCTGATGGAGGCCATTTGATAGCCAAGTGTTGGCCGTGGCCCTGGCTGAGGCTCAGCCCAGGGAGCAGTAATAACTGGTACCTGCCGTGCGGTGCTGAATATGAAGCGACTCTGTAGGGTGGGGGGGTACACGGGGGTGCCACCGGATGTTCCTGACGGCAGTGTGACTGCACACTCACCCAGACAATCTGATCTGAAGAACAGCCACTCCAAATCGCTGAGCGGTGTGCCGAGGAAACTGCGCAGGAATGCCAATTAGTGCACAATTCCCCGGCCTAATGATACGGTAAGCCTTTCATGTCCATTTATTGACATCTTTTAGAATGTTTTATTGGACTTTAAGCATGGCTGCTGGTAAGTTTGGCTTTGACTTTAGGTATCATTTTTGGGTCCTGGTTTTTGAGCTGTACTGTGGGTGATCCAGGTATACAGTGGGCAATATAGTCCGTCAGCAAGAAGCATAGTCATTAAGCAAATTCGTTCTACGCTGGAGTGTGTCTAACTGACATGGTGACAGGAGAACACGTGCTAGGATGGCGTCTCTGATCGTCTGTAGATGTGGTTATGTCGGATCCTGAGCCCAGGCTGCTTCAGCTTTTTGTGTCAGGTTTTCATGGTGACTGCAGCAGCCTGTTTATAGTGGGCTCTGCTTTTGCTCAGAGCCCGTTGTAGATGCAGCTCAGCCTTGCCTTTCCCTGCCCTCCCGGAGTTCCTCTGCATATTAAACGGCCGCCGGTCGCCGAGTGGCTGGGCTCACGCCTACGATGTGAGCTGAGTGAAGTGCTGGGGCAATATAAGACAGGCAGAAATGAGGTTCTCCCCCCCCCCCCCCCACCCAGCCTTCACTGCCCTTGTGATTATCTCTTTCATTGGTTGGGAAATCGTCATGCACGCTTCGATGCTGCGGTATTGCCAGATGGGTCCCTTGCCCCTGCCTCTACCCTCTTGGCCCTCTGGGTTTCAGAGGTGACATTTCAAAGTTCTGTGATCCCGGCGTCCGCCTCAGTAACACGGGAAGCGGCAGGAATACATCTAATAAAGTAACAATAATCGTTAATAATGAATCCACAAATGCGGATGATTTATGGACGAGGATGTGGCGAGCATCTAAGTGTGGCTCAGCCATTGTGTCTGTGCTGCCAGGGGCCAAAGATTTCCCCTGCAATTAAAAAAAACAACCTGAAAAGAAAACAAAAGAGACCAGGCGGTGGTGAGACATTCATCTCAGCCTTCAAGCAGGGGGACTGCGATGTGAGGGAGGACGACTCTGTGCAGAGTCTTGGATGTTGCGGCCACTGTGGGAGCATGTTGGGGGCCGAGAATAAACCTCCATCTCTGTAAGACTGAAATTAAACAGGCAGAGGTTGTAACCCAGGCAAAGGCAGCTAATAAAACTGTCAGCTTTGATTGGACCATCCCAGCGAGATATATTATTGCAAAGAGGATGGTGGGAGAAAATCACAGAATAATAAAGAAGTTCATCCGCTGCGGTTGTTTACAAAAGGGATTTTGTGAATTACTAAGGCTACTGGCAATATGAAGTTGAAATACTTTACCTGTCACAGTAGTATGTCGGCCTCTAGGATTTGGGGGGAGGGGGGGGGTCCTCTCGCTCTGCTGTATGAATCCAACGTACGTTGACGGAGGCATTATGAGCACACCTTACGCCGGAGTATTCCCGAGCTCTGCATCCAGGGGGTGGCTGGTCGGGTCGTGTTTCCCTGTGTTCGGTTATGGAACTCTGTTGATGCGGATCCGCTTGCCGAGGAGGAACGTGGAAATTAGTGCATCTAAATAGGGAACGTTCAGGCCATAGCTACAGCCTCTAATTATCCCACATTCGGCAAATGGGTATTCCAGATACCCTGCTGTGGTTTGTGCGTGATTAATTGCGAAGGCGTCTGTTGTCGATGGGCAGGTTCGGGACTGTTGATGTGCCTGTGGATGCTGTTCAGCAGTATGGTGCTTCATTCGGGCCTTTTATTACTTTACTTTATCAATTTCACATGCCTCCCCCCGCCATCCGTTGACTGACAGAAGTCATCCATTATTGCCTTTCTTCCCCGCTGTGGTAGGAGGCTCCAGAATGTCTGTCTCCTCCAATTACTGTATTGACGCCATCTAACATGATGTGGACGAGCCTTTTGCTTTGCCTCTCCTCCATTGGCCCTCTCACTGGCCTTTTCACGTTAATGTTTAAGGGGCTCTATGGGGGGGACCCCGACGCAGAATGCAGCCAGAGACTGGTGTGTATTCATGATTTAAAATGGACTTTTTTTTTGATGAAGGTCCACACTTCGCTCAGTGACCCACGTCCCAGTGCTGACCTGAATAACCAGGTGCTTTTAATGAATTGCACTGCAGTCAGGTGACACGAATTTTCAGGGGAGATGATCACCCTGCGCTGGAACTAGGGTGCATGAGCAGAGGTCCATAATTCTCCACAGAGGCCTTGAATAATGAGAAGCTCCGTGGTCCTTCTTGTAGTGATTGAACTGCTATGTTTGAAGCTTTTCCAGTCGCTTGACTGAAGGGGGTAAAGACTGGGCTCTTATCTCTGTGCTGGACATTAGGGATAACACTGTGTCCACATGGCCCTGATTGGGGACGGAAGGAGCCGTATCTCCGAGTAAACGGCAAACTGATGCTGGACTATAAAGCATGGTGACAAATCACTGGGGAAAGCTTTGAAATGGAGCTGCTGATTTTTACAGCCTGTTTTCCCTGCGTGCAGCCATGAAGCTCCCTGGCTGCCTTCAGGAGATTGATGTGTCATTGTTAAATGTTCCAGATAAGTAAAACAACACTTAAATGACTATGTCTCGCTATGGGCCTTGAGAATATAAAGCGCTGGAATATAAATTTGGCATGAACTGTGTGTTCTCACACTGTCACTCTGTATAATTGGTATTATGTTTCATTCTCGGGATTTGCTTCATTTTTTCTGCTTTTTTTGGTGTTGTATTAAACATCCTCTGCTGCCTGTATGCATTTTTCTGACCACCTGCTTCCTTTTTTTTCAGGTGCATGATTGCTGATGAGGTAAGAGTGTCCGACCGTGAAGTGTAGCTGCGTGTGTGTTTCATTTTTATCATGTGGCAAACCAGTTTTCATAGCCAGGAACATGCATGTAAGCCATTTCCTCTGGGATGGTATGCCGGTAGATTTCTGATGGAGTTGCCATTCCCTCTGTGTGCTTCGGCAGATGGGCCTTGGGAAGACCCTGCAGGCCATCGCAGTGGCTTGTGCCTACAGGCAGGACTGGCCCCTGCTGATTGTGGTCCCCTCCTCTCTCAAATACCCCTGGATCGAGGAGCTGGAGAAGTGGATTCCGGAGCTCGACCCGGAGGACATCAACCTGGTAGAGAACAAGGCGGATATTGAGTGAGTGTCACCATTTTCGCTTCCCACCCTCCCCTTGAAAATGGCGGGCAGAAATTGGTCCTGTTGGGTCCTTTGTGTAGGACCACAGATCGTGGTTTTGCATTTGATCCGAGTTGACTTGTAACGCTAAACGTTAAAGGAATTATTTGTTTCACATCTTATAGGCCTTTAACTGTTTGGGTAAATGGGGCAGCGTCAGTGCATAGCGCCACGACCGTCTGCGCTGGGTCACGGCCTCAGATATTGAGATTGTCAGACTGATTAGGAGAGTGGCGGAGATGGGAGTTTGCTCACCTTAAATGGG